CGGTTGCTTAATTCTAATGACGGGAAAGGATCCCAAATGATGCATTGAATGTATGCAAAGGCAATTTCTTAAGTAGACCAAAACTAGAGATTCGAAGCCTACCTAGTAATCCTCTTACTATATTTTTTAGTTTAAAAAATCTTAAGTTCCCAGCGGAGTCGCCCGCTGTGAGCCCCCTTCCAAGCGCCATGGGAAAGATCCGAAGGACGGAGTCTAACCAGACGGGCCCATTGGATGTTTCGTCACAGAAATTAGGAGGAACTCGTTACGATCCCTTTTTGTTTGATTAGATTGATTATGGCTCGATTTAGCGCTTAAGTGAAGTCAGGTTGCTTTTGGAGTGCTTTGACTATGTGTGAGGTATGAAAGTCGCCACCTTAATTTGTTTTCATTTTCGAGGAAAAGATTAAGGAAAAAATCCCTTGTTGGACTCCATTTTCAGTTTCCTTTACGATAAAATGCACTAGTCTCAAATCATTGGATTCGGGGAGCAGGTTTTTAGCTTCTTTCCAAATGAATCAAAGGTTTGGGTCATAATTAATAAATCAAAAATCAGTGTTTTGCATGAATGTCAGTTTATAGATGCATGGTCATACAATAATGCATGGCAATTATAGACAAAGCATTAAAAGCATAAATATTGAAAAGTGTGCAATGCGGAGGGGAGCTCGACTTTAGCCTCGTTTATCGAGGATTCTAGATCGTGTTTATAGATGCAGGTCATGAACAATAATGCAATGGCCAAATTATAGACAAAAGCATTTTATAAATAAGCATAAAAGAAATATTGAAAAGTTGTGCATTATATGCGGAGGGGAGCTCGACTTTAGCCTCGTTTAGCGAGATTCTACGATCGTGGACACAATTCCCTAAATGCGTCCCTTGAGACCCTTGGCCATTAATCAGTTTTTTGGTCGAATTGGGAACCGTAAGACTTAGTTTCCAAATATCCCATAGGTTGAATCCGTTTTATAGAGTATGACCTTTATAGACAAAGCATTAAAAGCATAAATATTGAAAAGTGTGCAATGCGGAGGGGAGCTCGACTTTAGCCTCGTTTATCGAGGATTCTAGATCGTGCGACACATTCCCCTAAATCTCGACCGGTCAGTTTGGTCGAGGGCCCAATACCTAGGTTGAAATCCGTAGGTATGCCTTTGTACCTCGTTTGTATAAGGATCAGCGCATATGAAGTTCTACCATCGATTAGGATGGTAGGGTTTTGAAGGTGCCACTCGAGAAGTGGGTTTAAAGTGTTTACCGGCGAATCGGGCTTCGGTTTAAAAACTAGTTTTGTAGTTTTGCTGGATGGACATGGCTTTGTGTGCCGGATGGACCGGGCTTAAAGCATGCAAAGTGTCGGACGGACCGAGTTTGACAATTTATAAGGTGCCAGACGGACCGGGCTTAATTGATAAAGTTTTGAGTTTGAGTAATTATATCCTTGTGCTTGTGATGCAGCCGGATCGGAGCTCCATGGTTGGTAATCGACCAAAGAGGTCGAATCTCTCTCTAAAATAAGCTAAGGTAGGGCACGAGGATGCAAATTATATTCTTATATTTATACTAGTGTTAATTGACGGATTATTAATTAATTTTTAAATTAATTAATAATAAATCAATTAATTTTTAAATTAATTGATGGATTATATTCTAATAGCTTTGGTTTAAGGAAGGCCAAAGTGTGATTGAAAGCCGAAAGGATCGACTTTTGAGTACCAAGTTGGGCTTTAACTCAACTAAAGAAGAAGAGCAAAGTCGAACTATATTGCTTTAGAATCGCAAAAGAGAGAATGAGAGTTGTTGAAGCTTGAGAAGCGCTCAATCAAGCAACAAGAGGTGTGAAATGAAAGAGATGAGTGCCATATTTATAGGACAAGGGAGGCTAAGCCTGGGCAAAAACGGTGCCGAAGTCCTCCAAATCAGTGCTGATGTGCCCCTAATCAATGCCGATCAGGAGTCCCGGCACACCATGGATCGATGTCGATGCTTGGCTCCTCAGCACCGATCAAGGCTTTTTACCAAAGCTGCCCTTTGATTTCAGGGTTTTCGGGCTTTTAGAGGTCCGTTCGAGGCCAAAATGATGTTTGATCGAGCTGATCCTCGTGCCGTTGGAATCGTGGTAGGATTTCCTAGAGCCTGGTGCTGAAATCATGGTCAATAAGTATCCACGCGAATGTGAAGAGAGTGAAAACTTGTTTAATTGCCATATTGTCACCTCTTTCCATTCCTACTCAGTAATCGACGATAATGCCGAAGGAGCTGGTGGAACAAAAGGATCCAAGAAGTCCCAACCTAATGACTAAGGTAGTGGAGGTGACGGTAGTGGCGGAGGAGGGGGTAGTGGAGAAGCTGTTATCGATGTCCATATATCGAATTTAGGACTCATTGGTGGAGGAGGAGATGTAAGTGTGAGAGGTAAAAGTGGTGGTGATGGTAAAACATCTGTACCTCTTTCTTGCTTTGCACCTTGAAACCATTTCTTCTCTTTCTAATCGTGAATAACAACAACCCATTTTCTTATTTTCTTAAATTTCTAGCTTAGCTTTCTTTTTCTAGTAGATCAAGTTATGCTCTTCTTTGATTTTATGCTCTAAAGTAATTAAAGTAAATTAAAATGCTTTTAGAAAGCAAAAGAAGATTTATTTTTTCTTTCTCCCAATTTGATGGGTTTTGGGAACGACAGGAGATGGCGGAGGAGGGAGGAGGAGATGGCGGCGTTGGCAACGACGGTGGCTATGGTGGAGGAGGAATAGGAAGGTAACAGTCTCTTTACTTCTTGAGTTGTAATTGATAGAGAGAGAGGGAGGGACAATGCCCATAGGAATACTTTTGACCTAATGTATATTTTGGACCATCTAATGATGTGTTTCTCTTTTTGACATATGTCATTACATTTTTGCCAAGTAAGAGAATTTGAGTTGCTCATTTGTCAAGGATAAGTATCTATTAAATACGAAAAAAATATATAAAAGATACCTTATAGGATCCCCACAAAGTATGAGGAGCCACAGGATTTTTTTTTTTTTAAGTAAATGTCTAAAATATGCATTTGGCTTTTTTTTTTTTTTTTTTTTTTTTTTTTATTTTTTGCATGATGCTATATCGATCACCCATAGATAGTATAGTTTCAAACTATGTTTTTTTTTTTTTTTTTTTTTGCATGGATGCTATATCGATCACCATGAGTAATAGTATAGTTCAACTATGTTTTGCTTGTCATCGAGTTATGTATTGACTAATATCATTTCATTAAATACGCATTTTAAAATTTCAAATTACAAGTTGAACCTTACTTTATTATATTATGTTTATCCCCTCCAGCTTCTTCCTCTATAGTGCCACGTCTTATAGAGGTATGTCTGAAGAGAACAGCTGAGCTTGCTTTGCTATTTTATAATTTTGTGTCTGAGCAAATTCGATAGCAGGCATGATTTGCTTTCGGGTGAGCCTGTAGTTTCCATTTTAGAGATGGATAAAGTACCCTTGAGCCCCTAAACTTCACTAGATATTTCTATTGAGTCCTTCTATGAAAATTTATATTTTCTATTAAATCCTTAAACTTTCAAATTTTAGAATATGCAGCCCTTCTTAAATCACTTAATAGAGCCATATTTCACTCAAAATTATGGCACGTCTATGGTTAATAGAGCTATATTTTTGAAAGAGGAGGAACTGAATTTCAGAGGCTTGCTACAAAAGAGGCTATGGACAGTGGGTGAGTGAAGAATACGGATTAGGGTGAATATTTATAGGGGTGATATTGCCTTTACACTATAATAAGTTAATATTTAATTATTTTTTAATTAATTTAGAATTAAAGGATAAATTTTGTAATTAATTTATTTTATTTTACTCGGGGATAGGGGACTGAGTATTAGTTTTAGATCCAAATGAATTACCTAGAAGTTAATCGAAGAATTTATGAAATTTAAACTATTTGGATGTAAAGCAAACAAGTAAATGATTAAATTAAAAGAAAAGAAATTTGGTTTTGGTGTGATTAATAAGGAAAGGCACTAGTGTTGGGATCAACTCTATTCAACAATATCATGGTCTCAAATATTCCTCCTTCAATCTATCAAGGAATGCATCTTGAAGGAGGAGGAATCTATTTATATTCATGCTCTCTTCCAAGTAACATTTCAGAATCACTGGGAAATAGTAGTATTATCTTTACTATACTAATTGCACCATCCGTACAGAATTGCTAACAGTTAGTCTTTGCACAATGTCTTAATAGCAAAAATGCCCATCTTTGGACAAATGAGCTAATATTGTTTGACCGAGTAAAAATTCAATGATGAATAAATTAGTTCTTACAAATGCAAGGACAAAATAGTTAATTAGGCTAAACCTCACCGGCTTAAAAAATTTTTTCCCCAAAAAAAAATAAATTTTAGGTTATTAGTCCAAGAGAGGTGAACCAATTGGAAGAATTAATATCAACTTTTGGTTACTCAAATTAACAACTGTTACTAGAATTTGGGCCAATGCTCACCCCTATTGATAGCCGAGCCACGAACTGGTTTCATACCAAAAAATGATTTGGAAGTCCTTCAAGACCTAACTTGAGCACTTTTGGGTCAAGCTTCAGTCCTCTGGTCCTCCTTATTTCTATCTGATTCTGAATTAGGCAGGTATAGAATTTAAAACAAATGGCTGTTGACTTTTTTATCTTTTTATCAATTCAGACCAGACCATCAATTTCGATTCTTAGCAAGAGACTCTACACTATACCATGACCCCAGATTGTAACTCTATTTCTAACCCAGAACCATTGACTTCGAACCGATTGCAAGTCAAAATTGACATCTGGCCAGCCCTATTGATGAATTGAACACTAACAAAGGAAAAAAGCAAGCAAATATTTTCATATGTTTAAGGTTGGTGTCTTGCATGCTGCAGGTAAACCCTGGGCCCCATGGCCAGCAACGGTCATTACTCATTTAAACTAATTGATGAATTGACAGAAGCTAAAAATTGTTGGAAAGTTCCTGGAAGGCTCTAAGGGAAGTTCCATTTGTAGCCTTTTCGAAAAATACAGCAGTTCCTTTGTAGCATGAAAAAAAACAATTAGGCTAACAACAAAACATGTCAAAAGGTTTACATAAAGTAGTTCAAGGAAACGTAAAAGTTAACAACAACCGCAAAATCTAATATTGATACAGGAAAATTGAACCATTGCATTGTATTGAAACAAATGCAGAGCCCTCCAAGTTCTATTTACATTGGAACTCTTGTTTTAAAAAACTCATATAAGAACAACAGACGCGCAAAAGATATCAATCTCCCCCTCCAGGGTTATCAATCTAGGAAATTAGATTCTGGACGAACACAAGAGGCTCTTCCCATCTTTAGCCAACTCAACTCCTTGTTTGAAAGCTTTACATACTATCTCAAGGTCCATCTTCTTGGGCTGCATTGAGGAAAAAGGGTGAATTTGAATTTGTAAAACAATACATTCACATCTATGTGTGTGTGAGTGCATGCAGGTGCGGAGAGAGAGAGAGAGAGAGAGAGAGACTTACTACTCAAAATGAAACCCTGAAGCAAGCTTTGAGCTCTCTCTGCTTGTTCTGGAGTACCTGATATTTGAATGATGTTTTCTGTCTCCCCTGGTCTATCTTCTAGAAGGGTTACATTGGCTCCAGATAACTGTCCCATAAACAGTCACATAAAAATTACTAAATGTGAAATCTAAAACTTCCACGTTGTCAGTAATTGACTAAAAGTGTAGACTCACCTCACTTATCTGTGCAAGCTTGTTTTTTGATTTTGTTACAAGCTTTGGAACTGCATGCTCTGGTATAACAATTTCAAGTGTACTCCTTGTAACAAGAGGTTTGGGGATTCTAACAGGAAATGAATATAATATATTACAAATTGGAGAAACAAATGTCCTATTATTATGCGTAGGACAGCAGCAATGAGCTCATATTGCTTAATTCATTAAGATAGATCTGAATCTGGTACCTAGTTATTGTGGCGGGCACCTCTTCACGGCGTTCACTTTCATTTTGCTTCAGTTTGTCAGTGCTCGATCCTCCAGCATCCTGCAAAATGAGGATTGTTTACCTTATTCTAACTGTTAGATTAAAGTAGGGCAGTTGAGAAAAATGCAGGAGAAAGTTTCAGTATACCTTGTGCTGTTCAGTTTGCAATGCAAAGACCATTAAGTGGTTAAACTGTTTTGACACTATAAGGTCACATACTAGAAAATAAGATTTAACTCCTTAGAATATGGGGAAAAGGCCACCAAGAACAACAAAAGTCATCCCCGACAAAACATACATGGGGACTTCCTATGTCCAGCAAACAGATCAGCAATGTTTCAAAGTTTTTGTCAGAAAATTTAATAGAATATTTTGCTTTCCAACCACTGCTTTTATCCTGATTTAGCAAAATGTGTTCATTTAAAACTTTTCAGGAGGTGGACTGTTTGAGTTTTCATCGCTCATTTTATTCTAGTCTTCTCAAAGGCCAAAAAAATGAACTTGGATAAACAGCTGAAAAATAAGTGGTTAAATAAATAAATGGGAAAAGAAACATGAAGCAGGAAAGAGAATCCTCCATGAGAAAAAATAACCTTTGGTTGTTGTACTGCAGCTGAAGACTGCACATTTGAATAAGTTGCAGCAGAAGGTTCAGCACCACTATAACTGTCACGACCTGGGGTTACGTTATTTGGAGAAGATGTCTCTGTTCCTAAAGCATTCCCAGCGTTGCCTGACTCAGAAATAGGCAGTGGATTATCTTTTTGAAAGAATTCTTTGTATAAATAACTCCTTAGCCTTAATGTCACTTCAACTAGAGCATCTCGAGCTGCCTTTATTTCCCCTTCAATCTGTCAAAAATAGCAATACCATTCAAAACAGTGAAGATAATAACTGATTCCTCTAACAAGGCTCTTGTTGAGCCTTACAGGATTTCCGACACTTCTGTTTTTGTCAGAAGCATTTCAACTGGCAAACACCAGCTGCAGATGCGAAAAACACATACAATTATGAGAAAAAAGGTACATTCGTATGCTTCAGGATTATTGAGTTCCTGAACTTCATAAGCACATACAAAGGGTCAGCGGCAGAATCCATTAGAAGGAATCACTTCTTAACTCTGCACCACACATGATACTCCAGTCTACCAAAACTTACCAAGACCATGGATTCCAGCAAATGATCTTCTTAGACAACATCCAAAACCATCCAACAAATTGCGGGTTCATAAGCATTTACACGTAATTTAAAGTGGCATACCTGTACAAGCTCATCAGCATCAGATACACAAGCAGGGAGTTTTTCCCTTGGCAGGATCTGTATGTTTGCACCAGTTGATCTCTCCATCTCAGATAATGATCCATCTCTTCCCTCAAAACATCCAATTTCACTAGATGAGATAATTAACTTGGTTTTTATTATATTGTCTTTATCTGGAACGAGATCGACAATACGAGTTTGAATATGCAACAAAGCCTCTTGAGCAGGAAAGAGCTCATCATCAGGGCCCTGCATACAGAAAGAAGCAAAAAAATTGTTAGAATCTCCAAAAAGGGAAGTAAAGGAGGAGGGCATGGAGACATTACAAATTCAGAGAGAAAAAATACAAATTCCAATATAATAGTACAAGAAATTTCAAACTTAATTTGGCAAGAAAAATGAAAACTCATATTCCACTTTGGGTGTTATATGATAACTGTCACTGCTAAAACGAACACCATATAATTTGAAAAAGGGGCTTTATAGGCAACAGTGGCTACTGAACAACTTATTACTTGATAGAAAAAAATGATGGCAGCTACCTCCTCAGATGAGATGATAATGACTTGCTCATCTGACCCAGATACAGGATCAGAAACCTTTACATCCACTCCAATTTCATTCTGAAGCAAATCTACTATGCCATCTGACTCCCCAATTACTTTGTTAACCTTGTCAATAGGGCAAAGAATTCTGAACACAAGGTCCTCACCATAAAAGGGTTGTGCATTATCAGCCATGGCAGTCCCAGCTTCAACTAAATAACCAGATTGTTGTGAGGAATAGTTACTGCTTCTATAATTGGATGTAGATAATCTTGATCCAAATGAAGGCCCATCTACAGATGAACGGCGTCCTGTATTATTCATGTGAGGAATGTAATCATCATCAGCAAAAAATCGTTCAGGTGAGTGTACACGACCGTGGAAATTTCCATGACTTCGGTCACGATGCTGACTTTCCCGCAAGCGAGACGAAATAATTGCTATAGCATTTTTCACTGCGTTCACATCACCTACAACCTGCTTCGGAAACAAAATTCATGAGTCTCTCATTGTAACCATTCTCTATTTGATATAGAATGCTTAAATAAAAAATAATAGTCTTCAGGAGGTATTCTAGGCAGGCAACTAAATAGTCCTGCAGTTCTAAAACTTCCATTGTCAAAGTAATCACGACAATAGACTAACTTTATAGACATTATACCATGGAATTAACAACAAACTTGGTTTCTATCAAGAAAGTAATCTATGCTATGCAGTCGAAATTCTCAAGAACAACACCAATGATTGAAACTCTACATCAGCCTCTATATCATTATATGGTTTGGCTATAATTTAAGCCAAGCTCAAATGTACTCTGACTTCTAGATGTGTGTGAAGCAAACAGTATGGAATAAAATTCCAATCATACCTAATTATCCTAATTATGCATTGTATCAGACAACCATCCTTGACAAAACATGTCAATGAACTCCACAATCAAGTGTTCCTAAGGTTCTGGTATCTGGTTATATTTTTCTTACAACAATGAAAAAAATATGGAGCAGGTATGTTATTGAGCAGCTCTAGAAGGCATAGACACAAGTTAAAATCACCAAGAAGCAGCAATGGAGCAGCCAATGAAATATATCATTCCAGTTATGGACAGTCAATCAAGTAATCGTTAGTTGCAATTGATGTAATATTGACTTTCAAATGACGTAATTAAAAGCACCCATCATAAAACAGCATCCTCCATCATTCTTCTATACATATCGGATTAATGATGTTCTTATTAAACTTCAATAACCAATTTAAGATGGGTCAAATTTGAGATATCCAACAAAAACCCAAAAATAACAAAGTTATAAATGCTTAAAAATCCAATATGATTCATTTGAGCTTTAAGTCATCATCTGTTTATTGTGTCTAACTCTTTCACTTCTATAAAGTTCTTTTAACTCGTTGCACATAAAGATGAAGAACACATTAAAGTAATGTAGAGTAGAAACTCCTTCGAAAAGGGTCGTTTCATCCAAAATCTAAGTCCCATTTCCACCCAAAATTCAAAGTCATAAAAAGTTTTTAAGTTAAGAAGTCCTGGAAGCAGCCAACAGAAATAGTAGTAAGTTTTGTGTCAGTCAATACAACCTGAACAATCTCCTCAGACATTGAAACGCAGCGTGGCAAAGTATGGTCTCTAGGCAAAATCCTAATCTGGGTCTTTGTTTCAATCCTCATTTGCTCAATTATCTTCCCTCCTTTCCCCAACAAACAGCCTACATGCATTCTTGATACCACCAACCTTGTAGCCACTCTATTTCCTCTTCCGCCACCACCATAATCCTCCTCTTCATTTCCATACCCACCGCCATTCATGGCAAATTGAGCATCACTCTCAAGAATCCTATCATGTATCAAGAAAAGCGCCTCCTGCGCTGGCGAGAACGCAGGCATTCTGCCTTCTGGGTCCCGCCGCCGTGTATCAGATATCTCAATGATTCGCTCTTCATCTCCGGGAATCAGTTCGTGCACGTTGATCCACGCGCCGGTATGTTGTCTAATAGACTTGATTATACTCCCAGACTTACCGATTACTCCACCAGCTTTGATGTCATGACACAGAATACGGTAGGTAGTGGTTACCATCAAAGATTGGTCCTGTTGTGGCTTTGATGCACGGTTGTTATTGATGGCAGTAGCGCTACTGCCACGGTGGTGACGATGAGTATTGGTAGCATAGTGGTGGTTATTATATCTGGGTTTAGTCCTACCACCACCACCAACCATGCCTGTCTCGTTTTCATAGTCCTGATGGTCATAGTAATAATTTCTCTTAGATCTAGATCTCTCCATCTTCTTCTTTAACAAAAAGCAGAGGTTTAAGGTCTCTTGATTTCTTTGATTCTGTTGATCCTTGTTTGTCAAATGTCCAAAGATTTAGTGTCCCAAAGTCACAAATTGAAAGGGGATTTTTCTTTGTTTTTCTGTTTGTTTCCTGGAAAAGTAGACATACAACGAGAGAGAAAATGCTTAAAAACCTAATAAGGAATGAGGTAAGAAGAGAAAGGGAGAGAAATGAAGAGAGAATCTAAAGAGGAAGAAGAAGAGAGAGAGTGTCAGAGTGTGTTGAGTCATGCACTAGTGATATTGGTATAAGCAAGCTTAGCTGCAAGATTTACCCACCACTTCAGTTTTCTTCTCAATCTTGATACTTTACTTTTTCTTGGATGGAGGTGCAAATAGAAGTACACAGCACAAAACGATGTCGTAGCATTGAGAATTTTCTTGGTCAGCAGATAGTGGGCGTTTGGTTGGACGGTGTGCTGAGGGGAAATGAGTCTTCAAATTCCAACGTCTAATGGTTACTTTTTTTTTTTTTACGTCAATGTTTTTATAAGCGGGATTCCAAGTTGGACTTCTTTATATACTCTCATCAAGGAAAACATTTGTATTGGGTGTACATATCCAATAAGAAAATCCAATAATGATAATTGACCGTAAATATAATAATAGTAACGTTATGAAACTGAAAAAAGAAAAAAGGAAAGGAAAAATAAAATAATGATAAAGAGTGCTTGTTTTTTTTAAATCAATTATTTGAATGTCTAGGAAAATGGATAAGTGTAAGCAAATTTTTAAAAAAACCGAAAAATTAAATAAAATTGAATTAATATTTATTTTTAGTTCGGTTTTTGGGCTCGATTTTAAATATTTTATATTCAATTTTTGATTATTGAAAAATAATTATTTTCTAAGTAAAATAAAACTGATGTAATTGAATCAAATTGCTCAATTAAATCTCGTTTCCAAACTTTTTTTTGATGCAGTTCATATATTAATTGAAAAAGTTATTGTTATATTCCTATACTATATCAAATTTAATTATTTCATCCTCATTTGGTTTTTAGAAATACATTATTTTATTATTAATATTTTGCTTTATCAATTATTCGGTCGTTGAAACAACTTGAATTTTTATTTTCAAAGATTTTTCAATTAAATTTAATAAACCGACAGCTTGAAAATTTATTTTAATATTTTAATGTGAACTCTGTGGGAAACCGAACTAATTATTTTAATGTGAACTCTGGGGAACCGAACCAAAAATCGATGAAAAACCCGTTAAAACCAATTGTAAACCGAAGAGAATTTGGGCCGAACCGGAACGAATCGAACCGGTTGACCCAAAACCATCTAGAATTTTCTTTTTTCCTTATTTCTAGCACACACCTCACTCCCCTCCCCCGTTTTTTTTGCGCTTCTTGACCACCAGCGACACCACCTCCGACCACCACTCCTCCTCCACCTCCTCTTTTCTTCTTCTTCTTCTTCTTCTTCTTCTTCTTCTTCCTTTCTTTCCTGCTCCTTTCTTCTTTCATTTTCGTTTTCCTTGGGCCTGCGTTCTTGGCGAGACAGAGGCAACGCAGCAGAGCCGCGAGCCACCACCACTTCGCCGCCGCTTCTGGTTGCAGCCTGACGTCGCCAAGCTCGCCGATCTCCTCCTTCCGTTCGAATTGCGCGAAGACAGCAGCTCAGGGAGAAACGCAGAGCGCCACCGCTTGCTCCTCCACCTCGTTGCGTCGTCGCCAGCCTGCTGCAGCTCCGGCGAGTCGTCAACCACCAGATCGCGCCGCCATCGCTTTCCAGTGCCGCTGTCAGTCGGATCCGGCACTTCCGACGCGCGTAACTCCAATCCGGCACAAACAAATTTCTGATCTAGCGCAAGTTCGACAAAAATTATATTTTGGGGTAACAAAAAATTTATTTTAATAATTTTAATTACTTGAAGTAATTTTATTATTGTTTTAGTTAATTAATTTTATTATTTGTAGTTAATTAATTTAGTTAATTTAATTTAGTAATTGTGAGTAGTTAATAGATTTATAATTTTAGTGTTGATTTAATTAAGGGTGTTGATTAATTTAAAATTACTTGGTTAATTAAAGGAATTTAGTTTTGTAATAAATAATTGTTAGGAAATTAGGAAATTATGGTTTATGGAATTAAAGAAGAATTTATGAATTAATGTTGATATGGATAATGTGGAGGACGGGATTAAATTACTTGATTGATTGCCCGATGGATGGGCTGTGTGGTTTGAAAATATTTGATATTGTTGATATTTTTAACAGGTGGATAGTCCAATTTTTAGGGGAGATGCTGTCGAAATTTCGGTAGAAATATAAAAGAAATTTCGGTAAAAAAAAAATAATAAAATAAATTTTGGTAGGAAATAAAATACAAGTCAAAATAGAAAAATTTAGAATATAAAATAAAATTCTTAGAGTGGTAAAGAAATATTTTGTCTGATAGAATTATTTTCTTTTGTGTCGTTCTTACTTTGCTTAAATCGCCCGGGTCCATCTAGTGCTCCTCCAGGACAGAATCAAAGCTAGAACTTCGCTCTCCATCGCAGTGAGTAATAATAAATAATGCATATCAACATGCATTTGCATAGCATTTTTTTTACAAACCTTATATATATATATATTTTATATTAAAGCTCATATTTACTTTATGTTGCATAATTGTATATTTGGATGTATTTGGTGTAGTACGTTGAAAGAATTATAATTGTGGCTGTGCATATACTCTGTGACTTGTTTGTGTGGAATTTAGGATGAAGTGGGTCACCATGGGTTTGTGAGACCGTTACCGTTATTATGGAATCCTGATTATGATTATCAGGTACCGTTATATGGATTCCCTGATTACCGTTTAGCGGGGTAAATGGAGATCGGCGCCCCCGTGTGCACCTACCGTTACCGTTACTGTTAACCACAGGTTGGCTTCTTTATGGGCGCCACCGGATAATCTAGATTTTGATCGTGCCGCAGGGTGGCCTCTTGTGTATGGAGCGCCTGATGATCTAAGCATTTGATGGAGAACGACCGGGCGTTGCCTCCTGTTGGTATGGAAAAACGAAAAGAGTAGAATGAAACAATTTGAGAGGACTGGTCAAGTGAGGATTTAGACCGGTCGGCCAGTATGGGGATCGGCTCCTGGTGCACATGTGAGAGGATAAGCCATGTGGGAGGACGGCTCATCGGGGGTTCGGTGTGACTCCACTGACTAATTTCCACGGATGTGAATTATTTGAAGGCTGATATTGTTTGTGGGTTGCTGATGTAATGTCATATGATTGACTGTTGTGTGTTCATTCAGTATACTAGAGTGCATTTTTTCTTGACTGTTGTGGTGTGTATTACTTTTATTATTCACTGAGTTGCAAAAACTCACCCCCCCTTCTCTCCCAAACCTCCCAGGTACTAGGAAAGCAGCTGAGTTCGACTGAGCTCTTGCAATCTTCCTCCGCAGAGTTGTAAATGGCTAAAACTTTAATATTTCTGTTTATTTAAATTTTGGATGTTATAAAATTACTCTATTATCACGATTATTATTGAATCTCCGCCAGTTATAGGGTTATGTATTTAAATTGGGCCTTATTGTTAGCACTACGCTAATAAATAATATTGTGTTAATTAACCTGTGGAAACATTTAGTAAGTGCCCTTATTGTGTATGAGTTATTGTGGAATAGGCCCTGGTTAAAATTTTATGTATTATTTGATATTGGGCCAGATGTTTAAAAATTTTATAACTTATTATCTTAAGTTCATATGGGGCTTCTGTTTGTTGAAATTAGGAGATCATGTAGACAGATTGAATAAATTGAGGGCTTACTACTGTTGAATACTCAAATTAGGCTTCTAATGTTGTTGGTGGCATGTGAAACACTCTTTAAATGGAGGAAAAACACGCCTGCTACATGGCCGTGCCAATTTAATTTGACTTTGCTAAAAGCCTAGTTTTCTCGGCCGCAGCCGCCCTTTAAAGGGCAGCAGTAGCCGGGCTATTCGCCGCCGGCGACCAGCGGCTGCAATCGTCTATGAATAAACCTCAATTTTGAGGCTCAAAGAGCCAATTTTTCCAGACTGCAAACAAGTCCGGCCCGGACCGGAGGTCATCAGAAAGTTCACGGAAGTGTGCCAATATGGTACTTGAAACGTTCCGAAAACATTACGAGGATCACGGGAACTTGGTCCGGATATTTTGGAGGTCCGAAACTTTCCCGGAAAAGCCTCCGAACGAAAAAAACAAAAGAAGAGAAAAGAGAAAGGCACGCATGCCCACCCTCGGGGGTGGGCATGCCCTCCTCACAGGGCGGAGCATGTCCCGCCCAGTCTAGGCGGCCATGGCGGCCCAGTCTAGGCGGGGCATGCCACCCTCATAGGGTGGGCACGCCCGCCCCACGCTAGGGCGGCCATTGCCCGCCCAGTCTAGGCGGGCACGCCCGCCTAGCTTGGGCGGCCATGCCAGCCCAGCGTGGGCGGGCACGCCCGCCCTCGAGGGCGGGCCAGACGCGCGCGACCAGGGGCGGGTTTTTTCCTATAAAAAAACACCCCGGGGCTCCGTTTTGACACACGTCTGTTGTTGGACGGACCTTCTCTTCTCCTTTACGCTCTTTGCGATTTTCTTTTATCGCTTCTGCATTCTTTTATTTTATTTTATGTTATTCTGAGCTTTCGTTTTTTCTTGCTTTATTAAGTGGCCATTAAAAACTCCATTTTAATTAATATTTCCCTTAACGAGGAGCTTAACTGGAGTTAAGAAGCGGTCGGAGTTTAAATGCAGGTACATAAATTTAAGACTACGGCTTAATTTAATTTTAAGCCCACTTCATGCATGCTTTCTTTTTCTACTCCTTCTTAACTCTATAACTGCATGAATGCATCCATATCATCACTTAGGCAAATAAATTGCCCTCAATCAAATAAAGATTTTAAGCTTAAATTGCCCGATTAATTATCAATCTGTAGGATATTAAAGGTTAAAATCTGACATTATTGGCTAAAGAAGGCCTAGTTAATCTAATAACTATGGTGAAAATTGCCTTTTATTTCGAACAGTTTCCTTGGCCTAAATCCAGTTAATCAATGATTGTGACTAAAAGGGCCTTACTTAAACACGTTTTTTTTATGGCATAAATTGCCTAATATTTCAAATTTAATTAATCACTGTAGGCAAAATAAATTAGCTTATAAGTTGAAGAATTTAATCTCTTTATAGCGACAAATCGCTTAAATCAATTTCTTTTTGGCCTAAAAGCCTTGAATCAACCTTTATGGCAACAATCCTTAAATCAATTCATTTGGCTCTAAAAAGCCTTAAATATTCAGATTTTGGCGACAATCGCCTAAA